TGTAAGTTTAAGGAACAAGTCATAAATTGATATTGGAAGTGGCTCAACATTTAGGTGATAGCAGAGTCAGAACAATCGCCATGGATTCAACAGAGGGACTTATTCGTGGTTAACCAGTTTCAGATTTGGGCGGTCCAATTACAATTCCAGTTGGCCCAGAAACATTGGGACGTATTATGAATGTGATTGGTGATCCAATTGATGAAAGAGGCCCAATCGAAACAAAAATCAGATATCCAATTCACAGGGAAGCTCCAAGTTTTGTTGACCAAGGTAGTGGTGCTGAAATCTTGATCACTGGTATTAAGGTGGTCGATTTATTGGCTCCATATGCTAGAGGTGGTAAAATCGGATTGTTCGGTGGTGCAGGAGTCGGAAAGACTGTGTTAATTTAAGAATTGATTAATAATGTTGCTAAAGCCCATGGTGGTTATTCAGTGTTTGCAGGAGTAGGAGAGAGAACAAGAGAAGGAAACGATTTATACCATGAAATGGTTGCCTCTGGTGTCATCAACTTGAGTGGTGGATCAAGATGTGCCTTAATTTATGGATAAATGAATGAACCCCCCGGTGCCAGAGCCAGAGTTGGTTTGACTGGTTTGACAGTTGCTGAATATTTCAGAGATGAAGAAGGAAAGGATGTGTTACTCTTTATTGACAACATTTTCAGATTCACATAAGCATGTTCAGAAGTGTCAGCCTTGTTGGGACGTATCCCATCAGCTGTCGGTTATCAACCAACATTGGCAACAGATTTAGGTTAATTGTAAGAACGTATCACCACAACCAAGAAGGGATCTATTACATCAGTCTAAGCTATTTATGTGCCTGCAGATGATCTTACAGATCCAGCACCTGCCACAACATTTGCTCACTTGGATGCCACCACTGTGTTGTCAAGAGCATTGACTGAATTAGGTATCTATCCAGCTGTCGATCCATTGGATTCTTCATCACGTATGATGGACCCAAATATTGTTGGTGAAAAGTAATATTCTACATATATTATAATTTAGACATTATACAGTCACAAGAGGAGTTTAAAAATTGTTGTAAGATTACAAATCACTCCAAGATATCATTGCTATTTTGGGTATGGATGAATTGTCTGAAGACGATAAACTTACAGTTGCCAGAGCTAGAAAAGTATAAAGATTCCTTTCTTAACCATTCTTCATGTCTGAAGTCTTCTCAGGAAGAAAGGGTAAATTCGTTTCACTTAATGACACTATTGCTGGATTCAGAGGTATTTAAATCTCTCTATTTAATTTAGCATTGCTTGATGGTGAAGGTGATGAGTATCCAGAAAATGCATTCTATATGTAAGGTACATTTGAGGATGTCATTGAAGAAGCTAAAAGAGTTGCAGCTGAAACAACAAAATGAAATATAATTTAATAAAATATAGCATAAAATAAAA